TTATATACAACCACATGATATTACACAAAATGTGTTAACAAATAAAAATCAATCAGATAAACTAGTTCTTATTAATTTTTCTCCTGATACTGATCCAACTGGTGTACGAAGAAAACTTCATAAAGATTTGTGCAAAAATAATCAAAGTTCATTTACGATCTGTTACAGTAAACCTGGTGGAGTGGATATTTCAAGTTTACCTACTATTTATAAACGAAATCGACAGTATCCATTATGGTTATCACCTCGTGGTGGTGGACTTGATTGTCACCGAACATGGGAAGCATTATATCTTGATATTATTCCTATTGTTTGGCATTCAACACTTGATTCATTATACACAAATCTACCAGTTATTATTATCAATAATTGGAGTGAAGTGAATGAAGAATTTCTTCGAAATAAACTTCATGAAATAGCAACGAGAAAAGCTCAACAACCATTAATATATCAGTATGAAAAACTGAGGAATGCTTATTGGCGTGAGATAATAATAAGAAAGTCTCGATATGCTTTGAATAAAAAAGACATACAAAGAAATCGATGTTGGCGAGCTAAAACTATACGATCGAAATAAAATGTATAAAACAAATTAAGTTATATTGAATAGTTCTGTTCGGTTCAATATTTTTTATTTATTGTAAAATATTTGTGATTTTGATTTGACTAGGTAAAATATAAATTATTCTATCGAATGATATGGTTTGTCTTGTTTTTTTGTTAACTATTTTCTTCTCGAATTTTATAATCTTCAAGAATTGTTTCGATTTTTACGAATAAAATTTTGAATAGTTACTTGAAAAGGTTTCCTTAATATTAGACTGAAATTCTATAAATGAATAGAGACGAAATTGATGTATCTGGTCATGTGTTTATAATAATAAATCTTCCATTTATCTAAAAAAGACACGACAGTAACGACGAGTGAGTTATAAAAAATAGATCATTCAGAGTTTGACATATAATTCTATGAGATGCTATTTAAGACGACAATGTTTTTTAAAAATTCGTTGGACTGTTATTGATGATATCAAGTTAGATACTATCATTTTTACGTCAAAAATTTCGCTACTTATTTTAAGTTTTGTAGAGATATACTAGAAAAGTATTGTTAAATTCATAACGAAAATAAACTACAAGCTATTTCAATTTTATGTATGTTGTATTTGCAATGAATCATTTGAGGAAGTGATAAAGATCTGTTATATTGAATATTTTTACCTGCATGCTCACACTCATCAATCAAAGTAAAAATTTATTTGTTTTTGTACTTTTTCTGTTAAAAATAATATAACAACAATGTCTCGTTTCTATACCTTTTTCTTTGATATTTTTTTTTTTGCTATTCTAATCTTGAAAGCGTTGTAAAAAAAGATGTGAATCATTAGCACATATATAAACGAATTAGAGAAGTAGGCAAAAAATGATTATATGATTGCACTTTTAAAGATATGTTTTGTCACATTATAAAGAAAGAGAACTTTTATTAATTGAAGACAATAGCGGAATCCATCTTAAATTTAAAAAAAGGTAAATTATATTAGATCAATACAGTAACTTGTTCTATGAATGATGAAAAGTCACTTTCCCGATTATTTTTACACTATAGGAGGTATTCCGAAGTTGATAAATAGAGAATCGATAAGTGCGCATCATTTTATATAGAACAAATAAATCATAATTTAAATTATAAACCAACGTAATAGTAAGTAATATTCAAACGCTTCACTTAAATCTTTCTTCATAATTTGTTTGAAATAACCTTCGACATGAGTTTTTTAGAATTTTAGAAAATGCTTTGAAATAAACTTTGATTTTTACACTAAACGATCATTGTAATTTTATTTTTCAAAACTTTAAAAATATACAAAGAGATTTTGTAAAAATAAAAAGTTTGAAGGGCGAATTTTGCTTCATAGAATATTCGACAATTAACTAAATGTAAATAAAATATAATATTTTATAACATAGGTTTCAAAATGTAACTAGAGCATATATTGTGACTTTAATTTCGCTTCATAGAAAAATATTATAACTATTTCATTCTCCTCGAAGTACTTCCTATATGTCTACCGTACAGGTAAGGGCATGATATATGTTAATAGAAGCATGACGATGATGCGCATTACTAGTGCGGGTATATTGTTTTTAATATTCGATCCTATGCTCTCCTTGATATATGCACTGTCTTTTCATTTCATTCATTGACTATCGCTTTCTTTTCTTCATGTTAACTAGTATTGACATAAAACAGGTAACTATGTCCTAAACATATGAAGTAACTAGACAGACGTTAATAACTGAATTTGATGGTGAAATTATGCGTTGTATTTGAGGTAAGCTATTATTCATATGTCAAAAGAACATTTTACTAATGAGCGTCTACACTACAGATCAAAATTAAATGAGACAAGATCAATACGCTAATCATTCGTTCATTATTTTGTTTTACAAATATATAAAACATGCGTATGATCTAACATTTCGATATATTATATCAATTTTGAATCGTGCATCTACTTAAAAGATTAGTCATGAGAAGATATTAACAGTCGAGATTTTAATATGACTTTTAAAGTTTTCTTTAGAGAAATAGATACATATAGTACTATTAACAATATTAATCTATTATTATATTTCAAACTTATATCATTGATAAATTAGTAAATATTGATTAGGATCTTAAATTTTACGGATGATATAATATTTTGTATTGAATACGTGTCTATTTGTTTGTATGGACAAAGATACAATGATCGATTTGTATAATAAATTGAATAGACCTTCATTATACGATTAGCATCTAGATAAAAAATTTAGAAAATGTTTCGCTCGATCACTCAATAAAAACGAAATGAATATATTCCCGTATATTCTATTATGAACCAGATAAACATCCTTATATTCGATATATCTCATTTGTTGTAATACATTATCAGTATCTAATTGTTAATATTCGAAACCAGTGAAAAAATAAATAATTATGAAGAAATAATCTCAATCTATTCATACGATGTCTTCAAATATTATAAGGATAGCAGTTATTTTATATTACATATATATAACTTGATGCATATTGGGATCTATTCAAAACTGATTAAAATTTATTTATTTTAAGTTTTGATGA